CTGTCCACACAAACCCCCAGAGTTTACTCAAACTAACGTCCATTGAGTCAGTGATGCCATCCAACCATCTCATCCTCTGTCGTCCCCTTCTTTTCCCACCTTCAATCTTTCCCAGAATCAGGGTATTTTACAATGAGTCAGTTCTTTGCATCAGGTGGTCAAAATATTGGAGTTTCAGCTTCAACATCAGTCCTTCCAATGAATATTCAGGACTGATTTCCTTTAGGATGGACTGGTTGGATCCCCTTGCTGTCCAAGGGACTCTCAAGAGTCCTCCAAGAATGAAGAGACGAAGCCAAAGCAAAAACAACACCCAGTTGTGGATGTGACTGGTGATAGAAGCAAAGTCTGATGCTGTAAAGAGCAATATTGCATAGAACCTGGAATGTTAGGTCCATGAATCTAGGCAAATTGGAAGTGGTTGAACAGGAGATGGCAAGAGTGATCGTCAACGTTTTAGGAATCAGCGAAATAAAATGGACTGGAATGAGTGACTTTAACTCAGATGACCATTATATCTACTACTGTGGGCAAGAATTCCTTAGAAGAAATGGAGTAGCCATCCTGGTCAACAAGAGAGTCCAAAATGCAGTACTTGGATGCAATCTCAAAAACAACAGAATGATCTCTGTTCATTTCCAAGGCAAACCATTCAATATCACGGTAATCCAAGTCTATGCCCCAACCAGTAATGCTGAAGAAGCTGAAGCTGAACGGTTCTGTGAAGACCTACAAGACCTTCTAGAACTAACACCCCAAAAAGAAATAATTATCTAAATGTTAAGTCTTAAGTTACCCAATTATTTTGTATTTTTGCAAAAGGATTTAGAGTATAACAGCCAGCCCTGTCCAGCATCTGTATTCCATGGTAGTATAGTATTCAAGTTTTCATTCCTCCTTCTCAATCTGAAGCAGGGTTCACAGGAACATCTCCAACTACCTTCAGGCCATGAGTTCCCAAAGCACTTTTAGGTATATTATAAAGTAGTAAGTTAGTGAGCATGCCTCTGTCACCTAGTTAGTTATGAGTTCCTCCCAAGTAGGGCAAATCCTTAATTCTTGGTGCTCCTAAGAACATCTTCTTGGCGGGAAAGCTATGACAAACCTAGACAGTGTGTTGAAAAGCAGAGACATCACTCTGCTGACAAAGATCTATAAAGTCAAGGCTATGGTCTTCCCAGTGGTGATTTACCGTTGTGAGAGGCGGACCACAAAGAAGGTAGAGCGTCAAAGAATTCATGCCTGCGAACTGCGGTGCTGGAAAAGCCTCCTGAGCGTGCGTTTGACAGCAAGGAGATCAAACCAGTCAATCTTAAAGGAACTCAAGCCTGAATGCAAGGGCTTATGCTGAAGCGGCAGATCCTGTTTCATTCCAATTCCAAAGAAAGGCAATGCCGAAGGATGTTCAAACTACTGCACAACTGCATTCATCTCACACACTAGCCAAGTAATGCTCAAAATTCTCCAAGTGAGGCTTCAACAGTACATGAGTGGAGAACTTCCAGATGTTCAACTGGATCTAGAAAAGGCGGAGGAACCAGAGATCAAATTGCCAACATCCATTGGATCAAAGAAAAAGCAAGAGAGTTTTAGAAAAACATCTACTTCTGCTTTATTGAGTCTGCCAACGTCTTTGACTGTGTGGATCACAACAGAGTGGAAAATTCTTAAAGAGATGGGAATATACCACCTGACCTGCCTCCTGAACAATCTGCATTCAGGTCAAGAAGCAACAGTTAGAACAGGACATGGAACAACAGACTGGTTCCAAATTGGGACAGGAGTATGTCAAGACTGTATACTGTCACTTAGATTAGTTAACTTTTATGCAGAGTATATCATATGAAATGCCAGACTGGATGAAGCACAATCTGGAATCAAGATTGCTGGAAGAAATATCAATAAGCTCAGATATGCAGATGACACCACCCTTATGGCAGAAAGTGAAGAAGAACTAAGGAGCCTCTTGATGAAAGTGAAAGAGGAGAGTGAATAAGTTGACTTAAAACTCAACATTCAAAAACTAAGATCATGGCATCTGGTCCCATCACTTCATGGCAAATAGATGGGGAAACAATGGAAACAGTGACAGATTTTCTTTTCTTGGGTTCTAAAATCAGTGCAGATGTTGACTGCAGCCATGAAATTAAAAAACGCTTGCACCTTGGAAGAAAAGTTATAACCAACCTAGACAGCATACCAAAAAGCAGAGACATTATTTTACCACAAAGGTCTGTCTAGTCAAAGCTATGGCTTTTCCAGTAGTCATGTATGGATGTGAGAGTTGGACCATAAAGAAAGCTGAGTGCCGAAGAATTGATGCTTTTGAACTGTGGTGTTGGAAAAGACTCTTGAGAGTCCCTTGGACAGCAAGGAGATCAAACTAGTCAATCCTAAAGAAAATCAATCCTGAATATTCATTGGAAGGACTGATGCTGAAGCTGAAGCTCCAATATTTTGGCCACCTGATATGAAGAACTGACTCACTGGAAAAGACCCTGATGCTGTGAAAGATTGAAGGCAGGAGAAGGGGATGACATAGTGTGAGATGGTTGGATGGCATCACAGACTCAGAGGACATGAGTTCCAACATGCTCTGGGAGTTGGTGATGGACAGGGAAGCCTGGTGTGCTGCAGTCCATGGGGTCACAAAGAGTTGGACGCCACTGAGCAAAAGAACTGAACTAAGCAAATGAACTGAGCAAAGAGCTGATTCACTGGAAAAGACCCCAATGCTGGGAAAGACATCAGAGGAGGGCATCACCAGTGCAAAGACGTGAACTTAGGCAAACTCCAGGAGATGGTGAGGGACAGCCTGGCGTGCTGCAATCCACGGGGTCACAAAGAGTTGGACGTGACTGGGTGGCTGAACGCACACACACAAATATGCCGATTAGTACAATACTGAACTTCAATCAGGGTTCTGAACCAATAAAAACATGTGTAATGTCTAGTAATCAGAAATGAACTGTTGTTCAGAAACGAGTTAGGGAGGATAATCTTGCTATTATGGGTAAAGTGATAGCATAACTTGGGAAAAGACACACGGTAAGCTACTGACCAGGTCATGCAATGTTCCTCTCTGTATGAAAGACTTATTTCCTGTATTGACTTTGCTTATGGGTTGTTAATAGGAAGCACACATACACACAGACATATATAAAACAGGAGAAAACAGAGGTAATCTCTGGAACTTATTTACAAATCAGAACTGAACTTCATTTGGTGGTCCATAGGAATCACAAAGGTTATTGCTCATAAATCAAATACTGTTATGTTGCTGTGTATTATTTTTGACTAAAAACTGGTTCTGGCTTTATATAAAATTATACCTAAATCAGTAATCATAAAAGCACTGCCTTTTCTCTGGTTTCTGTTCACTGACTTCTAGAACTGATTTTTCTTTCTTTTTTTTTTTTTAACTATTCCCTTATTGTGTTTACCTTTTCAATTTTTTTCAATTTGTTCACTGAGCTAGGGGGAGTTGCCTTTATACAAGATCTTGGACCTGGAAAGAGCAAGAAGGGCCAGTGATGACGGTCCTAAAAAGGCCGCGTGCTCATTTCTTACTTTTAGAAGACCATACTTGCAGATCAACACCATCACTGAAAAAAACAACGTCTGAGTCCTACTCTACCCTGCAATGTTTCATAAACACTGAAATTATATTTTCTTTGTTCTAACCCCAGCCTCTGAATCAGAGCCAACTAGAGTGAGTTCTTCATAAATATGCATTGACTACCTGATTCAGAATTAATGAAAAGCAGGGCTCTGATTAGCAAATGCTACCTGCAGGAGGCAGAAAAAATACCACAAATGGAGGTATGATGCTATTAGCAGTTTTATTTTTTCTTCAGGCTTGGGAATAATCACTTATATCTCTGTTTAGACCTTTCCAGATCTGAAGGTAATTTACAATAGAGTACTCCATGTGAAGCCCTCTTCCACCCAGTGCTGGAGGAAGGGGGCAAGGTGCTTCTAACAATTGATTCCTTTCTTGCCATTTTAGCTGCTCACCATGATCCACACAAACCCTTACATCCAAAAGATGTAATCAGCAATAAATATTGTACTTGTTTTGATAACTTGTTAATATAGATCTCTGTATACAAAATAAAAGGTCATGAGGTTACGATTATTTCTAGGATTTGTTCAATTGCTAAGTCGTGTCTGACTATTTGCAACCCCACAGATTGCAACATGCCAGGCTTCCCTGTCCTTCGCTATCTCCTGGAGGTTACTCAAACGCATGTCCACTGAGTCGGTGATTTCTAGAATATGGAGCAAATTAAAATTTAATGTACTCATGGACTGTATACTTGGATGCCTCTTCCCTTTTTTGGGTAAAACGACTGCTCCCAACTTCCTGAAGGTCTGACTAGGAAAAAGAAAAAAAAAAAAAAAAACCTCAAACCAAAAAAGTCCTTTTTTGAAGCACCTGGCCCAATAGTTGGATTTTATGCCAAGTCCAGAGCTTTGTCAGCTTGCAGAACACGCATTAGCAAGAGGCACCGGGCCACTGGCAGGCCGGCCCGGAGCATCGTGGGGAGGAGGAGCCATCAGCGCCCAGGGACCCCGGCCTCAGAGCCTGTTGCTTGCGAACCAGACGACAGAGCAGGTGCGACTCGGGCCGCGAGGGCTGCCGGCGGTGAGGGAGGCTAGACTTCCACCGGGGCGGCGAGCACGCAGACCCCTTCCCACGCTCAGGTTGGACCCTAGCCACGTGCGTCCAAGCCCTTTCTCCCGTTTAGCCTCTCTCCTGCCGACTCAGACCCAACCCCACTCTCCGGACCACGGGCGACCCCACTGTTATTAAGACCAGAGGGTGGCGGAAGATGATTTGCAAGGATGAAGGAGCCAGCGCGGCCTTTCTCTTTGGCCCAGGCTTGGAAAAATCTGAAAGCTATTGAGGAAGGACAGGAAGAGCCGAAGTCACGGGGTGGAAAGAGGGCGCCCGGGGTAGAGTAAGCCAGCAGCTCCCCGGTCTGTCCCCCCCGCAGATGGTACAGTCCAAAGCGGGGCGGGGCGACGGGAGGCTCCGCCCGCTCTCCCCGGGCCCCTCTCCCGCCTTCCCCGCCGCGCCGCCGCGGGAGCGACTGAGCGCGCGCCCCGACGACCCCTCCCCCGGCGCCCGCGCTGGGGCCCGAGCTCCGCCCCTCGCCGAGCCGCCCCCTGCGCGGCTGCGGGCAGATCTCGCTCGGCTCTGCGGACAGTGCCACCGTCGTGGTCTCTTCCTCCTTCCGCAGGTGTGCGAGGGCCTCTCGGGGCAGAGGCGCTGCCCTGGGTGGCCGGCAGGGCCCGCGCGCCTGCTGAGCGCTCGGCGCAGGGAAGCCGGATCCCCCGCCCGCGCGGCGCCGTGACAGGTGCAGGGTCTGGTTTAAGGACCCACCTGCGGCGGCGGCTGCGATGCCCACCATGCGGAGGACCGTGTCGGAGATCCGGTCCCGCGCCGAGGGTAAGTGGCCGCCGCAGCGCCGGGCTGCGTGCGGAGCGCGCGCGGAGGCGACTCGGAGCCAGCCGGGAGTGGGGCGGTGTGAGTGTGTGTCTGTGTCTGTCGGGAAAGGGATGCCCGTCCCACCCCTTCCCCCAGGCTGTTGTGCCTGGTCCCTGGCGAACCCTTCTCCCTGCACTGTTCGGCGCCCTCGCGGACCCCTTCGCGCCTGCAGAGCCCCGAAATTGCTGTCCTCGGTGGGATCCCCACGGCTCTTTTTACGCCGCAGCGTGACTGTTCGGTCTCTGCGCTCTCGCCATGCCCACCTCCCTCCCCACTAGCGCACAGACCTCGAGGTCTCCACTCGGCTTCTCCATTCTAGGGCTGCAGATCCCCAACCCGCCGCCCACCTTTGTGCAGCCCCCACATCACGACACCCCGACAGCTGAAATTGCCTTTCCCAGGGTGCAGGATCCGTAGATCCGCAGCCCCTCGCCACTCGGAGCGGGAGGAGCCTTGATTGGGGTTGGGCGCTCAGCGGGCGCTGTGCATTACAGTCTCTGCAGTTCTGCCTCTTGCAGCGGCGTCTCACCCAGCTCCATTCCGCGGTTTTGTTTCTGTGTTTCCGATTACCTGATACCTGCACTTTGGCCAGCTGAGTTGACTTTTTAGCAAGGTGGAAGCTATTTCCTTTGCTCCACCCAGGGCCAGCTGTTGAATGTCAGCGATGAGCAACAGATGCCCGAGGGTAAAGGCAAATACACTTTTGGAGGGCTGAGACTCTTCATCCGCTGAGGAGCCCTCAGCATCCTGCCCAGCATATGGCCGTCAATTGGTAAATGTTTTTTTATTTTGTTCATGGTGAAGCCAAGACTGTACAGATCATGAGCTTTGTTTTCTTTTTGTTTTTCTCCCCCGTAAACCCATACTTGAATCCTGCCGAGGGTGGCTCACGTTCTCATAACTTGTTTATGAGAACTTGGCTGTGGTCACTGGTGTCCATCCTTCACCCCCACCCCTTCCACCCTTTAATGTTTGGCGACTGCTAAAGTGATTTTAGGAGAAAGCTATAGGAGAATTGGATTGCAGGGGGTTGAGGGCCATTTTATTATTTTTCCTCCTCTGAGCCTTGATTTTAAAAATGGGGCCTCTGGCCTCTAATGGGCTTCCAAGGTGGCTCTGACAGTAAAGAAGCTGCCTGCAATGCAGGAGACCTGGGTTTAGTCCCTAGGTCAGGAAGATCCCATGGAGAAGGGAATGGCTACCCACTGCAGTATTCTTGCCCAGAGAACTTAATGGACAGAGGAGCCTGGAGGACCGCAGTACATGGGGTCGCAAAGAGTGGGGCTCTCATAGCTCTGCTTTTCTGATTACAGCACTTTGGAAATTCTCAGTGGCACGTCTTGGGAGAAGGCCACACAAGAGTCAGAAAACCTGTGTCCTGCTTAGGAATTTCATACATACTTATTGTCATTTGTAATATAATGAAAAATATACAGGGCACCTTTTAGATGTACACTGTCTTTAAATGTACACAGTGAAAAAAAATGTGTACATTCTTTTTTTATACTTCTGAGTAAAATGAATTTTCTTTTCCTCTTATTTTTTCTTCCACTTTTATTGAGCTATAATTGACATGGCATTATGACATATGACAATGATTTGACTTCCATACATCATGAAAAATTACCGTATTGTTTAGTCAACATTCATCAAATCATTCAACAAAATTAAAGAAACAGAAAAAAATTTTTTCCTTATAATGAGAATTGTTGAGACTTACTCTTCTAACATTTCATATATGAACATAATTATATTTATCATGTTGTACATTACATCCCTAGTATTTATTTATCTTATAACTGGGTGTTTGTATTTTTTGATCGCCTTCACCCTCTCCCCCACACCGCACCTCTGGTAACCACCAATCTGATTTTCTTTCTGAGTTTGTTTGTTTTGAAGTATAATTAACCTATAAGAGTATGTTAGTTTCTGTTACGGAACATAGTGATTCGATATTTCTAAACATTTCAAAATGATCCGCATAATGTTTAGTTACCCTCTGTCCACATACAAAGTTATTGCATAATTATTGACTATATTTGCCTCACTGTACATTTCATATACAAGACTCACGTATTTTGCAACTGAAAGTTTGTATCTTTTAATCTTCCTCACCTACTTCTCTACCCTCCCCACACCAATTCCCACTGGCAACCACCTGTTCGTTCTGTGTATATATGAGACTGTTTCTCTTTTGTTGTGTTTGTTCACTTGTTTTATAGATTCCATATATAGGTGAAATCATGCAGCACTTGTCTTTCCCTGACTTATTTCACTTAGCATAATACCCTCTAGATCCACTGATGTTGTTGTAAATGGCAAGATTTCATTCTTTTTTTTAATGACTGAGTAATATTCATATATATACATACACACACATATACATGCACACACCCTGCATCATCTTTATCCATTCATCTATTGATTGCACTGAGGTTGCTTCCATATCTTGGCTATTATAAAAATTGCTCAAATGAACACAGTGATACATATATCTTTTCTAATTAGTGTTTTTGTTTTCTTTGGATAAATACCTAGGAGTGAAATTGCTGGATCATATGGTAGCTCTAGTTTTAATTTTTTGAAGAACCTCTGTACTATATTCAGTAGCGGCTGCATAAGTTTACATTTCCACCCAACAATCACCCTCACCAACAGTTGTTATTTGTTGTCTTTTTGATAATAATGAATGAATTTTCTTAATCATCATTTGAGTGAGCCATGAAGGTATGAAAATATAGTGGTAATAGTTGGGATTGTGCTTTCAAATAATAGCAGTTGCTGGATTCCATATAGTGTGAAATGGGAAGAGAGAAAGGACCAGAAAACTATGTGAAACTTCTACCACATGAGAGGATTTTATCTGAGAGGCAACAGTATTGTTTTTGATTGACATGTATATTTTTCAAGGCATTTTTACAGAGATTACCCTATAGGACCTTACAGCGCTATAAGGTTGTGAAGGTTGGTGAAGATGGTCCCACCTGATAGTTGATGAAACCGTGTCCCAAGTGATGGAGGTGCTTGCTACACTGTCAGAGGCATAGTGGCCATCGGTGAACGACCCTTCCCCCACACTGGTTGGTTCAGTTTATCATGTGCTCAGCATTTTGCCTGGGACAGTGGTGAGGGCACCAATGACGACGCGGTGGGCTGGCGATGTGGCTCATTGCCTGCTCCACCCACACTCTTCTTTCCTAAAGAATAGTCTCTTTCGACAGCTCCTGCTGCCTGATGGCGTTGTTCTGAACTGCAGCCTCCTTGGCTTCAGAGGGTTGGGCTTCTGACAAACAGCAGACAATCCAGAGGTGGCTCAACACTCGTAACGTTGGGCTTTAGCTCAAAAAGCCAAGGCTTTGTGGTGATCATCTCTCCCATGGGAAGAGTTGGGCTTGGAGACTTAGAGTGAAGGTTTCAGCAGAAGGGGGCAGAGGAGAATCGGCTGGTGGAGGAGTGAATGGCTGGCTGTCTTAGGTTGTGCAGATGCTGCTGGTATGAGGAAGCAGAAAGTGTGCACGTGAACACAGAAGGATAGGAGAGAATGGCCTGGAAGGGAAGAATGACGCAGAGAGACCCAGATGCTGAGAGAGGGCGGCCCATCCCTAGCACACCTCCCCCCAACTCTAGAGCACCTCCCCGCCACCCCCCATCTCTTTTTGTCCCAGTTCAACAAGTAGCCTTAGAACAGGCTGTTATTTTTACTTTAAGCCATTTGAATGGGTTTCTATTCCCTGCATCCAGATTGGCCAGATGCATGGCTGCTCTGTGTGCAGGTTATTTACAACCAAATCGAGGACAAAGAACAGCCACGAAATAAGAAATAGTCTAGGAGGGGATGTTATTAATTGAACAGTGTGATTACTATGGGTAGCAAAGAGCCGTGAAAGATCAGACATAAGAACATGAAGCCTGCGAGAAAACATTCCTTGAGGAATAATTTGAAATGAGTCCTCACGCAATGCTTCTCAAACTTTAAGGCGCGCACCCATCACCTGGGGATGTTGTTAGATGCAGCTTCTAGATGAGTAGGGCTGGAGATGCATTTCTAACGAGCTCGCGGGTGATGCCAGGTGATGATCTGCAGGTCACAGTGTGAATACCAGGGTTGTAAGACAATGCCGTCTCTTTCAGCAGTCAGGCACTGAGGTTAGAGGAACCAACTGAAAAAGTGCTGAACATGACTGTGGCTTACTTGAGAGTTCTTAAACTGGTCAGGGACAGAGGGACACTGAGAAGGAATGGCACATAAATTTGGATAAATAAAAGCTTTTAGATTATAGAGTATTTTAAATACCAGGATGAGTCATTTGAAGTTTGAATCAAATATTTTAAAAGGATCTTAGAGTTCTTCTAATCCAGTTCTCATTCAAGCATGAGGTCAAAGTAAAATACCTCCAAAAGGGCCAGTTAGGTGCCAAATCACTGTAGGGAAGTGACATCCCCAAAGTATGTTGGATGGTTTGTAGGAAATGTAAATAGACTATTGTGTGTGTGTGTGTGTTTTTAAGGTCTAAAAATGACAAAGACCGGGATTAGCATTGGAGTGGAGCAATGAGACTGGAAAGGGAGGAATTAGAGCTATTTCTCAACAAATCATTATCTTGTTTAACAGATAATCTATTGAACTCCCATAAGTACCATTCTTGAAATTTCAAGAAATTTCAAGTACCATACTTGAAATAAATCAGTGAGCAAACAGAATAGAAAAAGCCCTGCCCTGGAGGGGCTAACATTTTAGTGAGGCAAGAGACAGAGCAAACACAGAAAGTTAGCAAGTTATAGACTTTGTTATGTGATCAGTGCTATAGGACAAATAAAGAGAAGGCAAGATGCATAAGGTTGGTGGATGAACTGCAGCCTTAAATGGGTTGGTTAAGCTAGCCTCATGGAAAAGTCGATGTGAAGGAGGTGGATTAAGCCTGCTGGGAATCAGGGGGAAGAAGGTTCCAGGCAGAGGCCCC